CTTGTGAAGCTGGAGCAAGCTCGTCAAGCCATGGTAAAACCTGTCAACTCGAGAAGAGGCTGTCTAGATGGGTCGACACGTCGATGGGAAGTCGTTAAAGTGCAAAATGCCCCCCCCCCCATCGCCAAACACCGCCCTCCATACAGCATTCTCGTATTACTCTACAACGGTGATAACAAGTCCGTCTTTCTACGTGTTTTGGATCTCTCGGACCGAAGTATTGGTGCTTTTCCCCTAGGATTATTCACAATCAATAGGGATTTTGCACTTAAGGTTGCTTCGAGTGAGACAAACTTCATCAAATTACCGTCGAATTGCAGCGCCAACCGGATCGCTAATGGGCTTCCGTGCCGCATTAGATGAATATTTACTCCAAAATTCGTATTGAATGTGCATAACCCCGTAACTTTATTCAGATAAGTAAGTAGCAGATATTGAAGGCGCTCTTTGGATTCGTAGTCATTAAAAGACCCATCAGTTGGTGCACGTCTCACTTCAAACGGCCACTTCGACCTATCATCCTTACCCGGTGAGAATTACCCTGCCCAGCTAACAAAAAGCCGAGTCACAAATAAGCGATAAGAAACGAACCCAAGGGCAAATCTGCATCGAACATAGCTTTTCGCCCAAGGAAATAGTTGTACGTGACTTTATCTGCCATCGAAAATGACTGATATAACGCTCCGGAATTGTCAATCGCACGAATCAAAGGTTTCAGTAGGTTCAACTTATTAATCTGTAACAGATCGACTGAAAAGTGAAATAAAACCAGATGACAATTTGAAAAAAAGTTAAAAACACGAAAAGCAGCGACAAACTCCTCCCGTATTGGTGTAGCTGGGGTTGTGGGCACGCGAAACAATCTCACCTTGAAATAGATACGAAACAATTGATTGGTCATATTGAGAATAGCTATCTTCTTTGTTGTAGATGGATCTGCTCTTCTAAAAAATTTTCAAATGAGATAGATGACAATCTATAGGACATCAGAATGTATCCTTGGCATTATTACCCTTTATTGCCCCCATTTTTCAAAACTAGACTTGACCCCTAGACCTTTGCTCCTACCCCCTCCCCACTCATCCCATGTGAACAAACATGATTAATCTATTCAAAACTAGAGTCCTTGTTACAACCGGGATTTCTTCGGCATTAGCATCAGGGCAAGGCACTCCTGGGCAAATGATTCAGGGGTCAATACCCTGACCCACTTGAATACAAGCCTTCAGTAAATACGCGTGTTTTGAACGCATGTTTAAACTTCGGCACCTACTTCAATGAGCTTCACGAAACGAGTAAATGTGGAGCATAAAGGACAAGCTCCCGTCATGATAAATTCTGGGCGCTGCTTCGGCTTAGAGGGGGGGGCTCACGTATTAAGAGACCGTGCAGATTTCTGTCAAACTTAAACGAAGCTTTGCGCAACTGCGTACTTTATCTGGAATCCTCACAGGTGTCCACAGGAGGCATTACATCGAAAAACAGCAAAAATGCCCCTCAATTAAACTGCCGGACCGCCCCACACTATGCTTCCGCATCTTCAAAGGTGAATGAGAAAAGGCGGAAGGGTAGACGTAAGCCTGTGACTAACAGTCAAGAAACTCTCAGCTGAGTAACTTACACATCAGAAGTACAAGTCCTGTATGCTTCCATGATGTAATTGGCTGATTGTTCGTAATATGAGGAGATATTTTCGACCTCATCGTCTTTTTCGGTAAGTTCATCGGCCTGAATTTGCAGTAATCATAAGGGATATCAAACACTGGGAAAACGGAACGTACCATTTTAGCTATATTCAAAAGATCGCGGCACAACTGATGAAAAATCGGAATAAACCAGTTCACTTCCTTTTTCTTCTGCAGCACTTCCTTATTAAATGTTTGCATTATCTGAAAATATAAAATGCTTGTACGCTTAAAAAACTTGGAACCCTGCAAAAATCCAAAGAAATGAGGAAAAGATTAGCCACAGCTCCTGCGATAGTCTTCCATAATAGAAACATCTTCTCATTCAGAACAGAATACTTACACACATACGGGGCGCTGTTCAGCTTGGAGGGGGCATTTTGCACTCTCGCAAGACTCTTACACTACTTTCTGTTACCTTGCTCCCGTGTAAAATGAAGCTCATGCTATTGCTTCGCTTTACAGGAGCTTGCAGGTACCGGCAATGATCGATGAGAACCAGTAAAATGCCCTCTCCAAGCCGATCGTACCGTAATCGTGGAGCATAACGTACTAACCACTTTCCATACCAGAATTACCTGCGTATGAGTAGTGTAGGCAGCCTCGTAGTTGTGGGACACATTTATGTGGTAAATTACTTGTAAATGCAGACACACAACTTGATCGAAGGCTTCGTCATCGATGTAAGAGCGGCTTTTTCGGGAGCCGTAGGCCTCGATCTGGAAAAACAACTTGTAAAGTGAACTCGGCGACTGAAGTGGTGCAACTGCATGGCGTCGCCCGCTAATACACCGCCTAGAAGTGGCCTTCATCGCCACGAATGTCCAGTCCGGGCGTTCAAATCCGAGCGGCCCCGCCCCACGGTCAATCAAATCTGCTTCCCTACGAGGTTCGGTAAGGTACGGGGAGATTGTCTAAATTGGACAAATGAAGAGCACACAGGCTCAATCAAGTTCTTTTTGCAGTGCGTCCTACACTCTACTTCTATCCGGAATCTTGAGTTTCAAGGACGATTTGGGCCAGTACAGTGGTTTGAGGGGTCAGCTGATAAACAAGCCAGTACAAATAAGTCTCATTAATTTCAAAATTGTACAAAGCGAATAGACAAAAATATTTACCTACATGCATAAATGGAAGAACACTGTGATCACCATGGATTGCCAGCAGTTTTGCCGCACTGGTAGCGCTTGCCCAGGTTGCCGTATCGATGAGCCGATTCAGCGTGTTGAAATACTCAGCCACGCTTCCAAAAGCCATTCTGGAAATGTTTGATTAGAGGAAAATTTCAATGACGACGGCAATCATTCGGATCGCATCGTCCTCGGAAAAACCTGTCATTGGAAAAACCATTCCTCAGTTATAGAAAATCACGGAAAATATTGAGCGAAACTTTCACAAAAGCGTGCGTTCATACTTAATGACCTGGTCGCTCTGATCGCCCGTTGTTCGCGCGATCGGGCGCCAAAAAGCGCTAGCACCGATCGGTCTGATCGCGAGGGAGCGCGATCCAAACGATTAGACTCTCGAAAATGAACGCCCTTTCAGCGCTGTCATGACAAAGAAACACGGTAAAATTACACAGGCGGGTTCTTCATTCAGACTTGGAAAGTACACCCTCTGGATGACACCTTCTGCAAAAGGCCACATTCACACCTCGCGCCATTGAGCCGCGTTCATACTTCGCCGCTTCGAAAGAGGAGAATCGGGGATCCAACATTTTAAAAGAATGTGGCTAGCGTGAAGCGAGTAAAATATCGATATGAAAGCTTAGAGAAAAGGAACATCGACGGATCGGAAACTCAGAGTCGAGAAAGTGTGGGTGGCGAAACTGATCCATATATTTGGCGAATCAGAGAATCGGAGTCAAAGAATCGCGGAACTGAAGAATGAGAGATTTGGCGCACCGGAGACCTGCTCAACAATAGCTTAATCTAATATTTTTCGCTCTTCTTCAATCGGAGAACGATTTAGAATGAGCACTAGTATCGATCTTCTTTGTTCGCGCAGTTCCGTGATTCTTCAGTGTCGCTAGGTATGAACACAGCCCGAACGATTAGACATCGATTTTGTCACCCCCTCCCTCACACAGTAAAAATTTGGAGAAACTGATCATATATAGAACGCTTACTACTACGAATTACTAGAGCAGCCCTTTCCGCGGACTGCCCGATTTCTAACGGCGTGCGATGAACATGGGCCATGAAACAGCTGGAGTTGTATCCCATCACTATCGTCTGCCTTACCACTGCACGATTATCGATTATATGCACGGCCGCCACCTTCGGACCAATTCCTCACTTCAAACATTCCGCAACCGTTGTGTTTTTTCTGTGCTAACGTATTTGGGGGGGGGGGGGGAGGGACCCACGCGGCGAGCGGCGAGCGATGACTCATCCGCTCTTCTGCTCTCGGCAAAAAAAAGAAGTAATTTCATGTTTAGGACATGGATATAAACACCGTCCTAGCTATTCAAAAGCTAAAACAGTTAAGGCTGAAAAGTGCGAAGAAATGTAGGCTGGAAGATTTTGCCTAAAATACAACGATTGTTGCCTTTTTGTTGATTCTTGACTATAAAAGATCAAATATTTGTTGTTTTCAGCTTCTGTGGGATTTCCCAGCAAGTTCCCGGTGAATCTTGTTTGTTTCATTCTAATTTGGCTGCTAGATTCGCGCTTCAAGTATGCCTATGAGTGAAGAGCTGATGAGTCATCACTCGCCGCTAGCCGCGTGGTCCCCCCAAATACAGTCCTCAATTGCGGACCGGTGGGGCGTGGCAGTGCGGCTGCATTTGGTGCGGCTTGGCAAAGTTGTTCTGCACCAGTGCTTGAAGCGAACAAGCTGCCATTATGTATAATTACTCCTCGTATTACTCGTTTTCTACCACTTTTTGTCGCATACGCGTTGCAACAAAAAGGCTGAGAACGGCTTCAACAGTGTGCGCACTCCTTCTGGCTGACACGCCCCACCGGTCCGCAATGATGAGGACTGTACGTTACACCGATGTTTATAAATGTACTTGTCTGGAAATGAGGACGTCAATCTTCATATTGACCGCCTACCAAATATGGATGTTAGTTTACCCCGCCATGTACGAAATCTTCTTGGTGGATACTTTCCAGAAGTTTGTGAAGCTCGTTCCAAAAGTAGAAGCCATTTTTTAAAAAAGGGCCCATTAGCGGACAATCTACCAGCTTCTTACAAACGTTCTAAACACGGAAAGTCCAAGCCTCATTAATGTGTTCTCTGTTTCTTTGATCACTATTCTACACACATTCAGTTCTTATTTATATTTTTCCGATTCGTTTCTTATGACGGGGTGCGATTCCTAACAAACGGAAAAAGAATGAAAAAGAACGATTCCGCCACAGTTACCCGAGCTGGGACTAAAGTCACAATACATGTATCTCTGTGATAAAACATCCACAGTAAACAACTAATTTTGTTGAACACATTATTTTCAGCTTGAGTAAACTTTATAGCGTGGAGATCACGAGAAAATAAGTTCCAAAAAACGTGTCAAAACAATCAACATCCGAAGATTGATATCTAGGAAGTTTGGCGATGGAGCACGAATTTCGACTGGAGCGTGGAAATCTTTACAAAATTGGAGCACGAGCGATAGCACTCAACAAAACGGAGATTTTCGATCGGATTTCACTTAGGGTCTCACGAGATATTTTCAACCAGTTTCTTCATTAATTTACTAATTCAATACGCTGAGATATTATAGAGAGCACAAAACAAAGTATATGCAATATACGGTGGAGGATGACAGTCGTCTTCGCTGGGGATTCTGGGGCAGGTCACAAGTGGTGGTGGGGGGGCAGCCTTTTTTCAACCAAGAACCGCGAAAAGAGTGAACAATCTTTCGTGAAGAGACATTTGAATCTTTGCGTCATCCACGCTTTCCCCTGCACTGGGGAGCCCCGCCCCAGACTTCTGCGCCCCCTTTCCACCGCGAGCGTAATTTAGGCACACCATTTGAAGGGGGAAAGTGACAAATATTGGTGGAAAATGGGCTGGCGCGCTCCAACACCGTCCTCCCATGACACGCCCCAACATCCGCAACATGGAGTACCCTGTAGGCTATCCGACCATTCCCCGTCGATGTGTCGTCATAAGGTAACAGTGAAGAACAAATATTTATTATTTCAACAGTACATAAGTGAACATCTACAGTTTTCTATTAAAGGGACGTCTCGAATGGTCTTGT